TTTGATTTAAATGAAAACAGGTTTTGCCAAGTATTACTTACTTTTTTCAGACAATAGAATGTTAACGCACAATTATTTATTAAAAAGGGATTTTAAGTAAAATGACTGCCAGGTTGATATAGTATCCCTTTGATTTATTCACTGTATAACTATTTAAAATCGTTCATTTTGGTTTAGCTTTGATCTAAAACGAGTTGTGTTGAATCAATACATATTTCTGTTCCTACTTATAGTTTTATCCTTTTATATTTCTGCTTATTTGCAATACAATTAATTTCTTTTTATTTGGTTTATTTTATTATATTTTAAGTTATTCATTTGACTACAACTCCCTCTGACCCTAACCTTACCTTGATCAGTGGTTAAGCTGTTTCACCCGTGTTACACCTGCTGCCTTACCTGAGCACGAGCTCCTGTTGAACTGATGTTGGTGCTTTTGCCAGGTCATAATAAAAGACTGTGCTTCTTCAGCAGGTGGGAAGACAAGAACGTAACTGAATGTACTTTATTAGAGGAAAAGATTTTAAAAAACAAAGTATATACAGTTAAATATACAAACTGTACAAAATAACATGTAAAGTATATTTTGGTTATTTTTTTATTATTATTACTCCTTCTTCACCTCACCTTCAAACACATCACTCCACCCAGAGGACGAGATAGTGCTTTGAAGGTGACAATGAATAACTGGCCAGTGGCTAAATAAACACTTGGACTGTGATGAATCATGGGAATATACAACATAAAGTGTAAATAGATGATGGATGTGTTTTGTGTTTGCACAAAAATGCACATTAGTGGGTGTGGGTGGCTTGGCATCTGTACGTGAGTGACAGTGTGAGCGTTTATATAGCCTTACATTCACACAAAAAATAAAAAAAATAAAAGCAATTAACCACTACAATCTAGTTAAGTAAACCACTCAGTTGCTTTGTGCCACTACTTAGTACTCAAGTAACAAATAAAAAATACTTTATTTGGACAAAGTCAAAAACAACCCTCCATCTAGCACAAACCTGAATGTCCTCCTCCTCCTCCTCCTCCTTCACTTCTGCAAAGATAAATAAAGTAAATGCAATAACACTAATACTTGTTCTGGCTGTAGTCAATCTTGTCTGTACTGGATTTGTCCAGTAGGTGTCACTAACTCTTTAGTTGTCAATACCTGTGAAAGGCTTAACACCATTTCTTTTCATAACTTTTTAATGAAAGTCACTGCAATGACACAAGTCCAGCAAACAACAAGTCATTTGCTTCACTCTCCCTGACAGAGTCCAAGCTGCTGTGTCCACAAGTCTAACACTTCAGGCCTCCACCTCACGTGTCCATCTTCTCCTCCACTGCACTGTCTGTTAATGAAAACAGCAGAGGAGGCACAACGAATGGAAGAACAAGAACGAGCTGGAATAACACAATCAAAAGCTGTGTTGGTGTCATTTACCTGTTGCCGTCAGGGTGGAAAGCCACACAGTTGATGGGACCAAAATGACCTTTGACTCCAGCCAAACTCCTCCTCGTACGCAGCTTGAAATAACCTATATATTTGTCATGAAAGATTAATGTTGTACAGAAGAATAATTACACCGCAATGTTGACAAAGGCCAGGACTTTAATCCAAGTCTCATGTTCAACTGGCATTTTCAGATGTTTAGGGGAAACTGACTTTTTGGGGAAAATTATGAGATTTGTTTTCTTGGCATTTTTCAATTTTAGCTGAACACAACTTTAGTATTGTATACATATACAAGAGAAATAGTTTTTCTGTATTGAATGAAGTTGCAGACGTGTAACTGACAATATGATCTAGGCAGGTTTCTCCCAGTTAGATGTTTCCCACACTGACTATGGCAGAAATGCTTAAAGACATTGAGGTTTTACTGTGGTAGGTTTTTACCAGCACACCGCTCTACGCCCACGCCAGCCACCATAATCACAACAGTTGGGTTTTATGCAACAATAACCTCCTGCTGTGGTTTCCTCCCTTGCAATTAAACTTTATAGCCATCTGACAACACTTGTTTTAATGATTCGCTCAAACACAGCGTGCACATACTGTACGTGGATTTCTTTACCTGATGGAAACCAGGCGTCCAGCATCAAAAACTGCAGTTTCTGATTCAGCCAGACCTTCTTTGCAGGTCTAATTCCTCTCAGTCCACAAAGGTGATTATAACGCAGTCAACAAATGAGTCGGTGTTAAAGTGGAAATGTTTTCCAATAAATGAGGGAAGAAAATCTTCAAAGCCCAGAGCAACTTACGAGCTGCAGCTCCTAAATTCCCACACCATCAATATTACAGTATCTGATGACCAGCCAATCAGTGACACCGTTCAAGCTACTAATTACAAACCACTCATTACAGGGTTTTCTTTACCTCATACTTTCCTTTAAATTTGATTTTTAGTACATTTCAAATCATACACATTTACTGAGTAGAAATATTTCCCATTGACTTTTTTAGTCAATGGGAAATATTTTAAAATTGTATTTGTTTTCTGACTCATTGATCTGAATTAATGTGCTGAGATAATGACCTGTACAGGAACAAACAACAAAGTCCTCATCTGAAACGTCCTAAAATACCTCCGCCGTAGGAGACCTGACAGTGATGAGCAGCAAATGAAACAAGGAAGAAGTCAATGGTGTGAATGAGATTTACAATCATTTAATTAATGTCAAATGTAGTTTACAAATGGGAAAGAACATGTACCATTTCCAAGAATATACAAGACACAAATTAGTTCCGACACAAGCCTCTTGTGCAATTTGTCTTTGGGGCAGACTGGAATCAGTGGAAGATCAGAGCGGAGGAACGGAGCTGCGACAGCGCAGCATCACATCCTTGTTTTCTTCTTCAGTGTTGTATACCAAGCAGAAAAACAAATCGCAGCCAAATGGGAGAAGTTCGTCACTGTGAGCTGGGCTGCCATGACACCACTGTCCAGAGGACAGTGACCTCGTCTCTGTCCACAATCATTCGCCTTGAGGATTTTTTTTTCTTTCAAAGAGGGTAACGATCAACTTCAGGTGCGTCCAAAAAGCGAACACTGACATTGACATAACACACCGTCTGATCAAAATGCACGTCAAATAATTATTTTCCAGTCAACACGGCACCCGCCCGGTGTTCGTCCCCTGGTCGTCTCAACACAGCCACTCATGGTTTTCGATCATTTTTATTTTTGTCATTTTCCCTATTTCATTTTTTTTTAAATCAGCTTTTTTTGTACAATACAGACGTCACAGAATACATAGTTTTACAAACACAAAGAACACCACCACCACCACCTTGGCTGCTGCTGCCGTAGACAGGAGGAAATGTTGAGGTCGCCGCTTCAGCCTTGGCCGTCCTTTAACTGCCTTACCCTGCCTGTAGGGGGTGTCATTTCCAGAGATTTTTTTTTTGCAGTGCAGCCACATGTGAAGAATGGAAATTGGGTAAGGGCTTTGATTTACGCAAATGATGTCAGGGAGAACGTAAACACAGGATCTGCTGGACATTTGTTGCAACTACAGGAACAAATGTCCAATATTCTTCTTTGCAGGGATCCTCAGGTAGGAGAAGTCTCTAGAACTCTGCAGAAAAAATGACACCAGCTACATTCTGACCACCTACTCTGGAGTAATTTTCTTTTTTTTCTTATTTCTGTACAGTGAAAGTAAAGTAAACAGCTCTGGAAATCATCTTTTTCTTATAAAATACAGTTTTCTTTTCCCTTGAGCCATTTTTTTATTGACCCGCAGGCCTGCAAATGTGAAAAAGGAAAAAAGAGAACTGATATTATTTTCTTCAGCATCTGATCCTGTTTTGCATCTATGTCATTTACACTCAACATTTGTAAACATACATAGACCTATATTACATGTGCTTGCTCTGCATCCTGAAGGGGGCACCATTTTGGTTTACTTCAAAAGAGGAAGAAAAAAGAATGAGAGGCAAACAGCTTCCTAAAGTTTGTTGTTAATTTGGTTGGAAAGCTCAGTTTTAGTGCCCTCCCCCACAAGTGTTTATGCAGAAACAGGCGCAGGAGAGTCCAGATTTTGTTCTTCAAAAACAGAACTTTGTCACGGTGTCAGGGTCAGAGTCTGGTGCTCAACGAAGAAAAGAAAACGTCTTTATATTCTGTATTAAGATGTCCTGCTCCAGAAAAGTGAAAGTTCCACGTCTCATCCAGATTAAACTGTAGAGGGAGCTGCAGCTCCGCAGGACTCTGCCTTACCTTTTCCACTGACTGTGAGGCCAGAGGGGTGGGAGAGTACGTGAAGGCAGCTCAGTCACTTATTCAAACTAGTTTTCTTCCTCACTCACAGACTGAGCTCAGCGTTCCTTGTCCCGTCTCTGTTCGCTCTCCCAGGGATCTTCAAACATGATTCATGACAGCGTAGGAAAATAAAGGAGGTTTCAATGGTGGTGAAATCCAACACAGAAGACACGCAGGGGCCGGGATGTCAGTCAGTGATGCTCTTTACAAGTAGACACGCCTCAGGTCTCCAGGTGAGGTGATGGTGTTGCACTGAGGACACAACTTCTTCGCTCCCTGGAAGAGAATTAAACATTTTAGTTACATTAATTTTTCATTAATTTTTTTTAAAATCATTTTATGTTTATGTAAATGAGATTTTTTTTTAATTTTATTTTATTTTTTTTACCAGTGTGACACACACAGACTCCTCACAGTGAACGTGCCAGCACTGGATGGAAGTGAGTGGAGTTGTGTACGTGTCCTGACACACACACAGACACACACAGACACAGACACAGACAAGTGGTTATTGTGGGAATCTTCCTGTCGCAGTACACAACGTTACCACTAGAGGGCCACATGAAACTGGAATAACGACTGTAGAGAAGAAGCAGCTGCTCCTGATACATCACTTCAAAACAGTTGACGTTTCTATTTGTAAAATTAATTAATATTTACTAATATAACGTTTTCTTTTATTTTTCTAAATAAAGATTTAATGTCATTAACTGACTGTCGTAACATTTGGTCCAAATGTAGGAACGTCAAATGTAACATTTGGTCCAAATGTAGGAACGTGTTCAAAACTCAAAAGTCTTGGGTGAAAGAAATAATGACATAAAAATAGATGGTAAAACTGCATTGATTTTAACTGTCAATATATGTAACATGTCAAACATGTGAAATGAATGAAACAACTCAACATAAACTGAGGCAAAATGGGAGAAAAAAATATATAAATTCTGCTCAAAAATGTTTTAAAGATGGTTATATTTGTTTCTATAAAAAACCAAATAAACATGTAAGAATCTTTAACATATTCTGAAACGTTAACTTCTTCAACAAAACACAAATATCAAACAGTGCAGTGTCATCGTTTCTGTCAGTCAACAATTTTATTTCATTATAAATATTTTTATGACTTGTTTGTTACTGTATTTACGATACAAACGAAGTACAAATACTGCATCTGCTCCATGAATCAGTCCGAGACACGCTCCACGTCCCTGCAGGACTCATCACTCTCTGCATTACTACACTGTGTGTGTGTGTGTGGTTTAATTCCCCGTCACACTCACCATGCAGATGAGGCATTTAAATCTGTCTCCTTTAGACAACTGTTTCTCCAAATCCCGTATCCGAGCTTTGAGCGCATCCAGAGTTGTCAGCGTGGAGTCGTCTGAGAGCCTGCACACACACACACACACACACACACACACCCACACATACATGGATGGGTGGACAGTAACAGGAAGGGAGGAGAGGGGAGGGCGGGTGAGTTAGGCCGACACAGGAGAGTCATTTATAAATCGAAGACAGATTAAATTATTCGCTGGCCAACATGGACACTGAGCATGAAATTTAGCAGCAATCACATCGGCCGCATTCGCTGTCTCATTTATCATAAGTGTGTGTGGTGGAAGGGGAGGGAGGGAGAGAGGGAGGGGGTGAGGGACAGGGTGGGACGTCAGGGTCCCACACACGGATACAGAAAGACGTACAAACACGTCCACGGTCACAGGACGTGTGGACACACACGGTGCTGTGAGCCGCCTCCTATCGTACAACTGATGATGTCATCACATTGACTGATGATGTCATCATAGATGATGACATCATATTGACTGATGATGTCATCATATTGATAAAGTATTGTGGGAGAGGGGACAGAGTCTTAAAATCCACTTCCTTTGGCCGTTATTCACAGATTTCCCAGAATGCACTCTGAGCAGGAGGAGTGTGTCGTGAAGTGAGACCAGACACATTAGTTTGGACTGGAAGACAACGCGGTGACATCACTGACAGAGAGATGAGGATCAGTTGATAAACTCACGTCTCAATCTCTGTATTTTTACACGTTTGTGTCGTCGTGGAAACGCTGCTGTTGACCTTCTCTCCTCCACTGGTGGATGGACTTCCTGCAGGAAGAAAAGACCAAAATTATTAATCAAAGCAAAATGATTTCATCCTCTAAAAAAATAGGACCAATCTAGATTTTTTTTTTTTTTTTGTAATTATTGTAAGTTTTTTTTTTTTTTATCTGATTTTTCCTGTTTTTATTTTAACTACTGTTTTAAGGTGTTTATTCTGGTCCATCTT